CCAATGGGGGACTCGTTTGGTGTTGGTATAAAATGCTGTAAGAACAGTTTTCAGAATTAATTACTCTAACAATCATTTCGTTTCTATTCACCCCATTCCTTATCTAAATTTAGCACAACACACAAGGCCCCAATACCCAGCCTGCTGGGTTCTCCACGGGCTCAGAAATCTGGCAGCAGGGAAGTGATTAATGTCTGTCTAAGGCCCTAGAGCAGGGGTGGGCAAAATGCGGCCCATGGGCCAGATGCAGCCTGTCAGCCCATTCTATCTGTCCCATGGGGCCCCTAAAAATTTTAGAAAATTAATATTTATCTGCCCCTGGCTGCCTGTCATGTGGCCCTCAATTGCTTGCCAAAACTTGGTATGCGGCCCTCCACCCAAAATAATTGCCCGCCCCTGCCCTAGAGTATAGGGAACACATCTGCATGTGTGAAAGTGTACAGCCTGCATGTGTGAAAGTGTACAGCCTCTCTGCACACTGTTATACAGTGTCAAGCTCTTTTATGTGACAACTTCTGGGCCATACAGGAGCATGGTAATCTACTAAGGTGTATACCATTGCAAGTGCAGTGGTTCTGAACACTTTGAAGTTAGCACCCCATGTTGTGATGACCAAACACCTTAAGGCAGCTACCTATGCAAAGACTTAACTGCTTATCTTCTGAATGTAATGTTCTTAGGTGCAGAAATAGTCTAATGTGGCACCTTGGTAAGTTGGGGGATGCTTATGGGGAAGGCTATGGTTGCCTACTCTGATATTCAAGTGGCCTTGGCTCATGATTGTTCACGTGCAAGATTCATGATACTGATTTATTGATGCTCTCCACTGACTTCATGCCTCTCAAATCGTTCCCCACAACCCTTGTGCCACTGGCCTGGACCAAAACAGAGGCACCAGGGCTGGGACCCATACTGTTGTTGGGGGCTTATCTGTCTGTGTTAGATTGACTGGGGCCATAAACCTGGGGAAATGTCAACAGACCTACCCATCCATCAAGGTTGTGTTGCTTTCCTGAAAGGGGCCAGTGTGTTTACCTTTACCCAGTTCCACCTGACACAAACCCTAACCCAAACAGACCCCAATATACACTGAAAGCTTAAAATGCCAAAGCTTCATATGTATTCAGTGTGCTGCATTTCAGAATGGTGACTGGGGTGCTTTAAGTGAAGCTTATTTGGCAAGTTTTAGTTAAAGTGCCTCCACCGCCATTTTGAAATGTGGGACACTGAATACACATGATGCTGAGTGTTGTAATTAAAAGGCTCCAGCAGACTTGATTAATCAAGGACACATTGGAGCACATGTAGAAGCACCCTCAGATTGTTCAGTTTTTGTCACCTATCCTCTCTTATTTACCACTCCCCCAATCTCTGGGTCATCTACAAACCATGACAGTTTTGCTTTTTCAGTGTAATTGGTGGAAGTTCTTAACTAGCACAGTGCACATAGATCCTTGTGCGATCTCACCACTGCATCTCCCACTCCTTCATGGCTTCCACAAGAGCATTCTTCTCAGATCTCAGGCTTCCAGTTGTCACCACTTCTCCTGCCAAACCATGACTTAAGAATTGCATTTCCCTTGCAATTCATGACTGTTTCAGTTCTGGGCTTAATCCAACCCCTACAATCTGCTCTCTCTCAATAGCAGAATTAACAACTAACCAATCCCATTTCACAAAGCACAGTATTATTTATTTAGCCTAAAAGCATTACCAAGAACAGTGATGCTTGACCTCTCTGGCACTGTGGACTGGATGAGGGGCATGGGGCTGGTCCAAGGGCCAAATCCTGTGCACAAGGTCCATCTGCTGGCCTAATCTAACATAGGGTTGGCATATGGGGTCAGTTTGTGGGTGCAGTCTGCAGCACAACCCTGCATGCTGGGTTTGGCTGAGGTACAACTATGCACCAGCGCAAGCCGGCTCACGGGATCATGTCATCTAGTCTGGGGGCTTCCCACAGATCTGGAAATTTGGTGGCATGAAACGGTGTCAATATTAATTGCTGTAGCTTTCTGAGTAATTCATGATGCTACATCTCTTCTGACACTACGTTTCTGGCTCTCTGAGGAGTCTCTTGTGCTGGATGATACAGGTCCGTATAGGCCAGCTCCAGCTCGTGCTGAAGGTTGAGAACCACTGACAAAAAAATCACAAACAAATCATGAAACAATCACCAGTGTACATGCATGCTAAGCTTACCACATGAACTAAATGGGGATGTCAGGTACAGTACATAAGTTTGTTAACTTTTTTTCATCAAGACTTCATTTATGCCATTCTCTTTGACTTTTGAATGGGAACAAACCACAGGTAAATCATCAACTGAATTTTTAGCATCTGTCACATTGCAATACAATAGTGTTTGAAATCCCAGTGCTTTTAAAACATCACTCTTGTCACGGATGCTGTCCAAGAATGCCATTTGTTCAAATAAAAATAAAATAAGATACGAGCATGAAATGCAATAGCTGGCATACATTTTTGATTTAGTGGAGGCAGCAGGCTATCTGAATTCTTTCTAAACAGGGAACACCTAACAGAGTCTTAGAGTATATTGCAGAAGTCCAAAACTTCTTCCAAAATCACCATCAGTCCCATGGGTGGATGATTATAGTATCAGTGCTTCCCTCGCCCCACCCCTGCTTCCAAAGGCGCTCAAAGAAACCCTCAGGAAGACCATCTACTGTATTAGGATTTACATACAACTACTTTAAAGGCTGGCATTTGCACTGAGCTCAAAAAGGATTGTACACGCAAACAACAACAGCTCTGCAGTGATGTGCTAAACTTTACAAAAAAGGAATGTATGGAGCTGTGGTGGGACTTGAAAGACTATGAACTGATGACACTAAAACTGTGGTCCCATTGGAAATCTAGCTTGAATCATTTAACTAGAAAGAGAACTAGGACAAGGACAACACTAAATAAGGATTTAAAGCAGCTACTAGACCTGCCTGTGACTGAGCCAAAGTAATGAGACCCCTCCCTTGGCAGGGATCCTAGTTTGGGTCTTAGAGTAGGAACAAGAATCTGAAGCAGTTGCTCATTTCCCCTCGTGTGTTTAAAATGGACGATACAGGTGTAGGGCCCAACTCTGGTCTGTGAGGGACATTCAGCGCAGGGGTGACTGGTGCCTCCTGAGCTGGGGCGGGGTGCACAATTTGTGGGCAGGCCTGGGGACAGGCCAAAAGCCCCATATCCACTGCTATACTTCTGTGCTG